TCATAAGCTTGAAGGAGGAGAGCCGAACGGTGCTGCACTCTTTCTCCGTGGCTGGAGGCCCCCCCTGCACACCTCCTTTTTCTCCCCACTCAGAAGAAGCACCTGCGGGCTCCCGAAGCCACAGCCAGGGGATGGGAACATGTTAGCCTGCTACAACAGCTCCCGCTCAGCAAATGCCTACGGGAAGCTGAGGGACACAAAGCCTTGGGCCTGGATGTGCTGCCCTTCTGCTCAGCCGCAGCGAGGGACCCGGCTAAAGCTCTGCTGCCCCCGCTTGCTTGCCTGCTGCTTTGCCTTGTGCAGGGGCACCAGCTGCATGCAGAGTGGCTCCAGATGCGGCGAAGCACTTGTTTTTTTGCACACTTTCCATTTGCAGGGCATGTCTCTCAGCCAAAGCCAAGGCTCCAGCCCCCTGGGAGCCACCTTTCAGCCAGGAATAACTCCTGACTTGAGGCAATTTTAGTAGGTCACCGAAGCCATTGGCTTTTCCCTTTGGCAGTTGTGCCTCTCTTCCCCGCCCTATGAAAATCGACTTTTCTTTCAAACATGAATGTGCCCTTGTAAGTTGATCTACAATATAATTATTTTCTCCCTTGCTCAGCAAAGTTTGTGAAACTGGACATTTTCCCTGTCAAAGGCAGACAATGAGGCCTTGTCTACGCTGAAGCGTGGTAGTAAACAATTCCCACTGTGGCTGCCATCAGTTCAGCTCGCCTGACGGCAGACATTTTTTTAAATTTCTTCCTGGAGACTAAGCCTCCCGGTGCAAGTTGATTGCCCCTTATGTCAGAGCCACAAAACATTTGTGGGGTGAGATCCTGCAGGAAGACTGCTTTTTTGTTGTTTGTTTGTTTGTTTGTTTGTTTGTTTGTTTGTTTGTTTGTTTGTTTGTTTGTTTGTTTGTTTGTTTGTTTGTTTGTTTGTTTGTTTGTTTGTTTGTTTTTCCCTGGTCATCCAAAAGGTGAAGAAGCAAATTTAAAGCTTCACCAACTCTGGTCACGAGCTGGAAGTCTGTTACCCCCGTTTGTAAAAATCAGAGTCACTGTAACCTTGCAGTGAAAACACTGGTTGAGGAATAGGAGTTAATCATTACTATCGCAAAAGATCTGCTGGCTCCTCCTTTCTCCTTCACGCTCTTGCAAGCATTCACCTTAACACAGGTTATAACAAGATCACATCAGATCTACACTATAAAAAGAAAAAAATTCAAGATATCCATGGGAGGGAAAATCCCATCTGTTATTTCTCTTGTGCATGGAAAAGGTCGCATGTGTCTGAACTTTGCTAAAGTCTAAGTTCAACCAGCCCCATAACCTGGCCCAGGTCATCAGCAGGCAGCCAGGAGCCACGAGCAGCACAGCCGCCCTGTTCCACATGCACCAAAGCCCGCGCAGCCCGGCTGAGCCCCATGGCTGCTCATCTCGCTGCCCCCATGGCCAGGCTCTCTGGGAGGTCCCCATGCCACCCTTGCGCCCACGAGCATCCCTGCCCCTGGACCTCCAGCAGCCCCAGCACCGCGCACCAGCCTTGCCAGCCGTGGTGCTCGCCCAGCATTAGTCTCCCTGCAGGCTCCTTGAGGGCGTCCTTCAGGCTCTTGAGGACAGAGAGGGAAGCGGAGAAGACCGGCTGAGCCACGCTGGGACTCCTCCTCTCAGCTCTTGTTTTGGGAGACCACAGCTCAACCAGCGTCTCACACAGAGAGCGCTCCTCGCCTGTTTTTTTGGCCTGTAATGGCAAGCAGCCCCCTTCTTGGGGAGTATTTGTCCATAAATAGTTCAGCCCTTTTGGCTCTGTTTCCGAACTGAAAAACTCCGGCTGTATGTATCTGCGGTAAGAGTTTTACGGATTTGCAAAAGGATGAATTGTTGAAAGAGAGCTGCTGGCTTTCGTAGTGAGAGTCTCCTCATGGCACGCAGCACCCCTTCAGATGGGCATCCTGCTCCTGCACGAGGCCAGCTGGGATACAGAGACCTTGTCTGGGCTGTGCTGGTTTCTTTACAAAACACAACATACAAAACGTGAAGTTCCCAGTTCCAGCAAGGCCCCAAAGGGATGCTAATGGTTTATCGAATCATGTTTCATTCCAGCTCCATAACATTGTTTTATAATAAAAGTCCAGGCCCAGCACGTCTCAGAAATAAGGCATAACGTTAGCTAACACATTTTTGAAGCTCAGTGCTGCCAGTGCCTCAGGCTTAGGCAGGGACTGGCAAAGCTTTCTAACAGTGAGCTGTGCCCTGACGTGGAAAGGGCCAAGGGCTTTTGTGGCTGGGGACTGTGTGGCTTCATCCATGCCAGGCAACAAGCTGCTTCTGTGGGAAGAGTCGTCTTTAGCTACTGCTTACCCAAAAGGCTCCATGCTCCATTTGATACCAAAAGAAACCAGGCATCTGGTCACCATTTGTTTTTTCCTTCAGAGAAGGCAATTCAGCGAGGAACGGCATGATCCCTACAATAATTTTATAACTGTGTTAGGATTCACTAGGGTGGAAAATACTGTATAAATAAGAGAGCACAATTGCCAAATCCTCAGTCATGAGGGCAAGGTGAGCCCAGCGCAAAGGAGGAGGAGGGCACAGAGGGCGCACTAGCCTCACACTGCTTGGGAGACCTTGAATGCGCAGATACAACCAGAGGGATGGGAAAGACGCATTTGCAATTGCAGGGTAAGGCACGATAAGCAGCACCTAAAGGAAACCAGGATATAGCTGAATAGATACAGAACATGCCGTAGGCTGGCGTTGCAGTTATGCTGTATGTAACTTACTGGTGCTGGAGCTCCACTTATGGGGAGCAAGAGGACTTTGCTGTGACACACTTGCACTAGGAGGCTGTCCCCATCTGGCTCGCAGATGATCAGAAAAGCTCATGGCTCCACGGCAGAAGTGCCCAGTGTAGGTGCTGCTGCCAGTGGCAGAAAGGGGTCCTGAGCAGACGGGTTGCTGCAGGGGAGCAATCCTGGCTCAAGCCACAATGGAAGGGCACATACCATGCAAGGAGAGCTCATGGCTCCTTCAGCTCTTTTCAGATACACCACAGGGGCCTTCTGTGCTTGCTCTCCTGTCTCCACTCATTTAAACAAAGTAACCTTTACCATGGATGTCAGAAGGAGACACCTGGCTGAAAAGATGCATTGAATAACCAAGTCTGGCAACAGAGCAGGCATAGGACCGCGCGAGCTGCCCAGGACTGAGCCTCAGAACAAGGGGCGAATCCACCCTATCGCCTGTACAGGTGAACCAGAGGTGACAGGGTGCTTAGGAGGGCAGGGGACAGGGCATCCTGCAGTAATCACAGGTGAAGTCTTGACTCTAGTGAAATAACTGACAAGACACCCAAGGAGCAGGTTTCCCCTCACCTCATAAGCTAGGCTCAATGGAGGAGTGCATGTTTAGTTTCAGCTGAATTGGCTCAAGCCAGAAGAAAACTGAACGTTTTCTTAGTAGCTGACCTTAAGCCAGAAGGTGAGCTTAGCCACAGACCAAGGGTTTGACACGCTGCCGTCTGCGTATCGTGGCAGGCCAGGAGCGACTCTGGGAAGCAGCAGGGTTTGAGCTCCATTTCCTTATGCAGAGGATGAGGACTTACAGGTCCAAGCCTGAGCTGGAAGGACTGAGGGGAAAGATCCGGGAGGAAGAGGAGGATCTGCCTTCGGGGCTGAGAGCAGCTTGTGCATCTTTGAGGAGGGGGGGCAGAAGCACAGGGAGCCGGGTGCCAAGACAAATATATGCCAATGTAAAGGCCTTGCTGAAAAGTTTAGTATCTACACAGACCCGGGCACTGGAGAAGCAGACACGGATCTGCACACCTTGTCGGTTTTGCTGCATCACAGGTAACGCAGCCCTGCTGCTTGCTAAGCCCCAGCAGGCCCTCAGGACCTGGCATTTGCTGGAGAGGAGGTGGTCAGAAAAAGCGGAGGAGCCAGGAAAGTTATTTCATACAGCTGTTGACGAAGGAGTTGGTCAAAACTGAAAACCTTGAAAAAATGGTAGATGGCTTGCATATGTTTGTCTTTTTTTAGCCTCTATTTAATTGCCTGGTTTTAACCCATGAGCCAAGGCAAGCTGTGACCATCTGCGCTTGCGAGGGGCACCCCTTAGTGTTGGAACCGGAGAACTACAGGGGCCTCCGAAGGCACTTTGTCTTGGAAGTTTGGCCCCCCCCTGCCATGCCACCACCCTGGCCGCATAAGAGGAAAGAAGGAAGTCAAAACCCAGTCACGCAGGAGCAAAAATACAAGTCTCTGACAGGAGCGTTTCCTCCTTCTCAGAGCTCATTCAAACAACCTAGCATGGGGAGAGGGAGAGCTCTGCTCTTTTATCTCCTCGGTCCCTTCTTCTTCTAAGCCTGCCTACACCTGTGTGTCCTGTGACAGACTGGGCACAGCTGCCCTTAGTAATTCCCTGCTAACCAAGGGGATGTTGATGCACTTACACCTACGTTTTATACACAAGGGGATCTTGATCCAGCCGGCTGTTCTCCTCATGCTGAGAGCAGAGGAGCGAGGGCAGAGGCGACAGCCAGCTCGTTCAAAAGCGGCCTCCAGTTCTGAGTCCCTCCAATTCGAATTCCAGCATCTACTTTTCACTTGAGGAGATTCAGGACAAACAGCTGTAACCTCAAGGCATCACAGTCCTGCATGCAGACCACACAACGGAGGAGGCAGGGTGGCCTCTAAAAACTTTTTTTTTTTAAAAAAAAAACCCATAACTGTCACGGGCACTAACAGGGCCCGCATACTGCCCAAGACTAAATCAAGAGATTAATCTCCTCCTCTGGGTTGTCCAATTATTCGAATCAAGAAATGGACATTTATGTTCCCAAAAATTCCGTCCCAACAAGTATGTTTGTCGTTTGCTGTTTGTAACACGTACAACGTACTTGTTGTACATTTGTACAGTGCCCCATGTCACAAACAGCACGACTCCTCCTCCTCCCTCCATCTCCCCCTTTTCCTCCCTGCAATAAACTTCCAAAGACAGTTTCTAGTTGACCTTGATTGGTTTATTTTAGTTTTACACTTTGTCCCTCACATACAGTTATTTAAGAGTTCTGTACTGTTAGATTTCTACAAAAATATCAATTTTTCAAAAGCAGAAAAGAGGGAAAGATATATTTTAATATATAAAAGGAAAAAAGCTAAATCTGACATTTCATTATATTCTTAAAAACATTCCAGTCTATTTACACACGTGTAAAAAACAAAGAAAATCTCCACATCTCTTGGTCTAGTGAGAATGTGCTCCTTGCAGGGGTTTCCTTTGTTCTCCTGATTCTAAAATCTTTTCGCTACTCATCACATACTCTCGAGTTATTGCCTCAAGGTCAGCATACATGATTTCTAACAGGTTTGTTCCAAACCAATGGGAGTATGAGAGAAGTGGAGAAAGGGCAAGTCAGTATTTAAATTCATAGCAAAATATTAAGCTGCAGACATGAGATGGCGGAACAAAGAATAGCAAAAACTAAAGAGCATCTCAAACATGCTTTGTTGCCAGGCAGAACCCATCATACATCCTTCTTGGAACAGCACCGTTGCAGCTGGATTCGTGGTCTGTTCTCAGTTATTTAGCCATCATGTTCAGGAACCAAAAATTTCTGCTGTAACCTTTACAGTGCTCTTACTGCAGCAAAAACTCCTTACTGCCCAGTGCCATACAGTAAATACATCCAGGCATTCTCCATCACCGTGACAATGGACAAAACGTCCTCAAGACCACAAGGTGTATCTTAAATAATGTTAGAATAGTTTTCACGTTACAGCTTTCTCTGTTCTGAGAAGTGACAAAGTACACTTTTAAAAAGTATTTAGAAATTTATTATATATTTCTGTATTTAAAATTAGCCATTCAGGACCATGGAGGGTGGGGTGCAGAAAGAAAATTCAGTGATTAGGAATCTGAAAGGAATCACAGCACAGTCCTGGCTGCCCTTTTATATACAGCAGAATGAAATCTGTTGACAAAACAAACTGCCTTTACCAAAAAAAAAAAAAAAAGCAACTTCAGGCTATTTGAAATACTCAGTAATGTTACTGAATTCATTTAGTTACTCCAGATTTCCAATGATTTAAAATCAGGTTAAAAATCCTTCAATATTAAAAAAAAAAAAGTGTCAACAAATATTTACATGTTAGGTCCCTTTTATAAGGCATTCAACAACAGCTGTAAGACCCTGCATGGCTCTCATGCTGACCTATATTCTCTTTTCCAACTCATTAATACAGGACTTATATCAGACACTAAAAGAGTAAATACGCAAAAAGCAATAAAAGCTATATGCAACTGTTTTAAAACACACCGTTTAAAATTGCCAGGTGAAGACATCTTTTTTTTTTTTTTTTGGTAGACTCTGGAGTAACTTTATGTATACCTGGTTTGAAGGGATTCTCTCTGTTCTGCAGCATAATATAAAATCATAAGAAAAGACAAGGAAATACCCAAAGTATGCATATTTCCTGGCAAACCTATCCTAGAGACAGATCCCAAAGATGCAGCTTATTGAATAGGGCATACGGTTGCACTATGTGTACAGCTGACGCTGCTCCCTAATTGTGGGAAAATACCACTCACAGCACCTGCACAATCTCAGTGCTGCAAAGATGAAATCCCTGCATTAGTGCATCACCAAAGATGGGGAAGTTGGGGGGGAAACCCAGCTGCCGTTGCTGGAACAGTGAGATCGGGGATTACATTCCTAAACAAAGCAAAATGCACCATCTATTTCTCAAATTTTCTATCATTTTCACAGCAATGTTTTTACCTTTTAGGAGCACTTAAGAAGCCCCTCAAGCGCACCATAACTTCTATTATTTACAAGCTTGATAGGAAAAGATTGTGTATACACTCTTAACAAATCATCTCTCCTAGGCTGAAAATTTCATTTGTCAAGGAAACTATGAAAACAAAAATTGTGTACAAAAATATAAATATCTTTACAGTCTGTAGGCCCTTCACATCCAACAGCTGAACAGTGAAGAGTACCTACAGGTTATTGAGTAAGCAGTGGCAGAGAAGAATAAAAAATACATCTTGTGATTCAATACTGCCCTATTTCCCTGGTAATGAGCATTTGTGTTGACTTTTTTGCTATACACATCTTGTGCAAATGCAGTGAGAAACCTCTGAGTACCTTTCCTGATTTTGTAAAGAAATGGAAGGTTTGGAAAGATATACACATGTATTTTCATATATACATTCACATATACACCTCACTCATTAATTCTGTTACAACAGTCCTGAAAGGGTTCTGTATTTTTAAGAAGCAACACTTCCTATTAGCATATCCTAGCCACCAAATACATCTTCAAGAATAAGGAGAGGAATGAAGAAAGAGAACTGGGAATACACTCAAGCTACTTCAGCACTGTATTTGAAGACTTAGCAATGGGGTGCTCAAATTTACTTCTGCCCTGACATTTTCCCTTCTAGATGCCCCAAGCATCATCAAGGGAAGAGCTGTTTGTAAAGCGGGGTGAGGGGAAAGGGGGGTTGTATTATTTCTTTTTCTTTTAAGCTTAACATACTGTCCTAGTTCTAATTACACTGGAAAAGATCAGCATCTTCCCCATTTGGTGGGAGTTCTAGATATATATGAACATCTTCTGTGCATAAGCTCCTAAAAAGAGCCTATACCAGAGCGCTATCTAGCACCAAAGGACAGAAACTTTTCACTTCAGCACTCTGCAAAATCTGATTTCCCTTCCTCCACTCTAGGTAACAAGTATGAGAGCAACTCCAATCTCATTTCTGCACATTCATCATATTCTGCAAATAAAAGAAATAGCAAATGTGAACATCTCATTTCTGCATAGATCATTTGCCTGGTACAAAAACAAGTAATCCAGATTTTCCCTTAACACAGACAGCTGCCTCTCTGCTGGGAAAAATCTTTCTCTACAGCCTGGGTTTCTCAGTCCGTTTACAAACTCTTTCTGTGAAGGACCCAGTTTTGGAAGGATACCATGTGCCCAGCAATGGTTATATATCATCTTCCTTGTTTTGTGAAGGGGAAGGGGAGTACCCAGAATGCAACAGCGAGGTAAACCTAAGTCACACGATTAAAGTTTCGTAGCACTTATTTCTCAATTTGGGGCCTGCCCTCAGGAACAGAGTGCTGATGCCATATAGAAAACACGTGTTGCAGACAAGGGAGGTTGCAAAACTCAAGACACTCGTTCACACTGCTCCAGATTTTCTTTCCAGTCTTTGAAAAAATATATATGCATTTATTTGCCTGCTGAATTTGAAGGCAAGGTCCCAGTATTATTCAATTTTGTAACCACAGGTGCTAAAGTGGGCATTACTTTGTTATCCTGTCCTTCTTGAATAGCTGCAGATAGTGAAGCTTTTACTCCAGTGGGCGTCAATTTTGAAACGACAGGTGCCAGTAAGGGCATCACTTTAGTACTCTGCCCTTCTGAGTCCACTGGCAGACTTGCCACTTTTAATCCAAGTGGTGCCAGTTTGGGCATGGGCCTCCACAAAGTGTCAGCGTTACTAGCTTCTGGGTTAGTCTTCATCTGCAAAACTGGTGGAGTCGCACTAGTGGTCTCCACCAAGGATGTTACAGTTTTGCCACTTCCACCACGGGCTACAGATAGATTGGGAACTGGGTCCTTCACTTCAGCACCTATTACTATCTTCAAAACATCTGCTTCAGATGAAGGTTCCCCAGAATTCTTGTCCCCGTCAGGAAGGTCATCATCCTCCAGGTGCAGCAGGAGAGGACTTATAGAGCCACCACCCTCTGGAACTTCAGAAAGGTCCTTAAAACTGCCTCCCAAATGGCCAAACTGGAAGGAAGAACCATCTGCAGCAGTGAGATCACTGGCTGTTCCCCGGCGAGCTTCTGAGTTTCCATGAGAGAAGTCTGAGTTTAGAGTACTGGGTAACTCTGACATGCCTGAAGCATCATCGTTCAATTGCTGATTGAGGAAGGCAATCTCATTGAGCAGTGAAGTGAGGGTTTCATCAGTGTCATCACTCTCCTCAATGCTGCTCAGTAACTCACCCGCATCCAGTTCTGCTTCCTCCATTGCAGAAGCTACTTTTCTCAATTCCATTTCTATCCTAGAATCTTTAATCTGCAGCTTGCGGAATGGCAATTCCTTTGCTTTTAATCTTTCTCCTCCAGGATCACTGTCTTTCCTCCTGGCTTGGCTTCCTACAAACTCACCAATGCAGAGCTTTTTACTAAAGGAGTCTGGAGGCTCCTTTGTACACGATACATTGCGGAGCTGTGGAAAGCCATCTTTATTTTCAAAGAAAACTTTTGTGGGACCTGTGGTACTTCTGCCATCTCCACCACTGTCTCCAGGACATGGCTTGGCTTTCTCTTCAGAAAGGATGCTGTCACTTTTCCTACTCTCAGGAGGTGCGACTGCCAGGGATTTCTCAGAAACCTGAGTACCTGAAGCTGCCAGTACATTACAACTTTTGTTTCTGCTCAAGTTCAGACTCATACTTCCTTCAGCAGCCAGTGATGTTACATTAACGATCTTTGGCATCATGAATGAATCTTCAATTTCTGCAAAATCGAACACAGCAAAACCCGTTAGGATCCATGACAACTGCAAGGTAATTCCTAACTGAATATAATTCGATCATTTTCAGATCTTCCCCAGGTAAGCTGCTAATCACAATTTAAACCACTTACACAATTTTGGCCAAGCGAAGCCTTGGAATATTAACAGCTTAACTTTCAACTTGCAGAAAAAAAGAGCAAGTTCTACATCTACCATCACAGAACCACTTGCCTAGTCCCTTCTTTCAGCAGGCTGGCCAAAATGCAAATAACTGTAAATCTTATAACTCTTACGGTGATGCACAAAGAAAACAGAACGAGAATTTTCTCCTTCACTATTTTTTCACACTTTACTTACACACTTGTATTGAAATACTATTTCTGTGCATAATACTACAGAGGCATTTCAGGGACTATGTGGCTACTTACTTTTAGCCGCTAAGCAGTTTCCTGAATACAACACTCAGATTTTTCCCAGTCCTGTATCTGAAGCAAACTTCTTTTGCTTGAGTGTTCATTATGCCCAAATGACTACAGTGAACCATAAAATTAATAGCTTCCTTTTAACAAGAAGCACGCTATTGTCAGGAACCACCATACACCTAGACCCAGCATGCAGTTCTCAGTCCTGAAAAGCATTTCTGCTCTCACAGGCGGCCTTCAACAGGCAGCAGAGAGAGGGTTTGAGAAGGGGTTGTGTTGGGAGTAAGACGCTGGGGGAAACAGGCGAGGGTCTTCAACACTCCCACTGCCACCTGGTACTGTAGCCTCCCCAGTGAGATGCATTACACCAGGGACACGCTTCAGCCTCTGCTTATTCTTATTTTGCTGAGGGCAAGGAAAATCAGCTAGGCAAAGAAAAGTTAAAAAGCTCCTGATCTGTAGCCCCCTAAAGTCCCCTCGAACATTTAATAGCGATTTTCTTTGAAAACTTAGACAGTAACACCTGTCATTACTTCCTGGTGAGGAAAACAATTAAGCTTCATCTTTGCAGGGATAACGTTCCCTGCATACAAGCAAAACGATGCACCAAAAAAAAAGAGCCTACCTGAATTGGGCTCTGCAGCTGTTACTACTGTTGAGGGCACTGGGTTTCCAGCAACAGTTGACAGTGTAATGGGAATGGTGGAGTTAGTAAGGATTCCTTTTACTTGGACAGGAACTGTTGATCCTGGCAGCTGAATCATCACAGAAGCAATACCTTATCCAAAAAAAAAAAGGGGGGGGGAGGGGCAGGGAGGGAAACAAGACCCTTTCAGATACTCAGTCAAGTCTGAAAAATAAAAGCCCTGCACTTCTATGTAGGACTTTACACTGTAATATCATCAGAAACTGGTAAAAAATAGAGATACAGATTGATTAGGTGATTAAGATGACTTCCCTACATTCTTCCTTTTGCATTAACTTTCCTGAGAGTTCTTGTCTCCCCAGTTGGGGTAAAATGAAAATTTAACAGATTTTACCTACCTGCTGACAAACTGACAGTTTGAGCTAATTATATCAACTGTATCAGCATCAGATTCTATCTCATTCAGATAAGTTGTAAAGAACAAACATTCAAAACAAACATGAAGTAAAATGCTACTTTGTAAACAGATATGTACATCAATGAACACCATGATGTTGATTCTCATCTTTCAATTAGTATGTTACCACATTATCATACCTGACTGTGTTGTCATGGTAGTGGAGGCAGCTCGAGGCTTTAATTCAGCTTGCAAGAGCGTGGAAGGAACGGCCGCTACCTGCCCTGGTACCAATGGACTCTTCAGTGTAAGCACCTGCCCCTGTGGAGTCATCACTAGGCTTGCAGCAGTTAGCGTAAGAGAAGATGAGGTGTTCTCTGCAAAAAAGAAAAACACGAATCAGAATAATTTATTCTGACATAGCGTCTGTGATAGCAAACGATATCCTGCAGTCCAAAGCGTTAAGTACAGGCGCGGAAGGAACTCCAGCTAAAAGGTCTACAAGCCCCAGATTAGAAAGTTACTGCAGAAGCTAGAAAGGCTCCGGGAGCCTTAAGCAGGTGGCTAGAACGGGTCTGCACGACTTCCTTGTCCAGTGTAATACAATCCTAATCCTCCAGAGTGGCACTCCATCAAAGATCACAGCAGTCTCGGTGAAGGCCGAAGTGACTTTGCTCAGTTCAAAGAATGGAAGTGTTCTCACTGCATCCAAATTCTGATGTCTAAACTTTCCCTGGACTGGACAAAAGTGAGGCTTGGGAAACAGAAACGATATGTTGCTTTATAAAAGCCCAAGACCACTTCAAGTAAGCTCTATGACCAAAGCAAGAAACATCACCAGACCCTTATCGAGCGTTACAGCAGTCCTACTACCATGAAAGTTTGGACTTCTTCCATTCTCTTGCTCCTTCTCCTTCGGCTGCTGGTGGGAAAGTCTCCATAAATATCAAATATTTCCCACAAATTCTCTGCAGCTCCAAAAAGCGATCAAGTGTCCAATAATTCTATAACTTACTCTATGAGCAAGTCTTCTCCTACCTTGAGAGCTAGCTTACTTGGGGAGAGGTCTTTCAAAACCTTAATCTAGTCTACCAACTTTGTGATTTTGGGGGCTGAGCTTCTACTTGTAAGTCAGCAGAAAAAAAAAATCTACCTTTGACTCACAGAAATTACTGCAAGATTACAGTGAAACGCCACAGGACTGCCGGACAACTTCATAAAGAACTTATTCCCCACCATTCTGAAACTCAAAAGTCACGTTAGTCAGAACATCTCAAACATGCTGTTCTCATATGCATTGAAACAAATGGTTTCCACACCTAATGGATGGACACTTCCTGCTCCTGTACCGAGTTTTGCTTCAGGAAACATGACTCCACAATCAGGGCCCTCCCACGCGGTCCTGAAATGTCTGTTTCCCTTTTGTGAAGTGTGCATCTTTTTTGGCCCACCTGTGGCATGGCCTCCTTTTCTGGCAAGTATCAATGGCTTGCCTCTTCTGTTTGTAACAGCCCTTTGGCCCAGCTCTCTGGATGGAGCAGAAGATCCTTTTTGCTGCGTGCTAGCAGTTGAGGTTGCAACAGATTCCTCGGGTTTGACTTGTTTCCTCTTTTTTTGTGCCTCTACTGCTTTTTGTTTGGCATAAATGTATTCTAGCTTCTTCAGGACTACCTCTTCTGTTTTCCCTATAGAGAAATCAACACAGAGTCAATCAGTTTTCAAACTCACTTTCCAAAATTAGAGAGCTGAAGACTGAACTAAAAATCTACCCAGCTGACCCCATCCAACTAACTTTAAAAAGAACCTACCTGCAACTTTGATGAACAGAACTCAGTTTGGACAAACACTAGCTGAGCAGGTACCATTTGAAAATGTCTACAACTGTGGAAAAAATGTCTTTCCTAATGGTATATACGTTACTACGTGGCAAAATGTTATTTTTACCTTGTACGAAATTACTCGGGCCGACGGACCTTATTACTTAAGGACATTTAGAGGTAAGTTCATATACAATTTATGATTATTCAGTACGCTACGATTTTGAAATCAAATAACAGGACTTTATAAATCATTTTCTGCAGATGCACACACTTTAACATGACCTAAATTCAACTAACCGTCCTAGTTTGTTTCCTACTTAGAGCGTTTATGCTGTAACATCACAGTCTAACTTTAAAGTCCATCTGTAAGTAATCCTCTGGAGAGGGTTGCCCTCTCCCTGCCCCAACAGTTTTGAGGTATTTCACACAGAAATGCAGAAGATCAGAAAAACTACTTTGCAAAGTTGTTCTTTGCTTTCATTCCCTGCCCAAAACGCCTAACACACATTTCTGGAGTAAGATGAGGCTCCACTAAAACAAAGTATTTACCAAGTATCTCCAATATACATCAACCAATTCATCCAAATACACAAGCTTTAAGCATCTTTCACTTCTACTTTACAGATGGGTCTCCTGCTTCTACTCCCAAACAATAAAGAGACCACAGAAAGAATAATTTAATGCTTTATGCTTGTTCACACACATTTTTGGCACTGGCTGAACACATGCTGCAGCTTTCCCACACAGTCAAATGAGAGAGAAAGGCCCACTGACTGGGTCATGGATCTGATCTGAAATGCCCAGATGAGTAACAACAGCTCAGAACACACTGCAATTCTGTTCTGTGTACAGAGCCGCACTCTGCATCTAGCAGCCATTACTATCATTACTTTTCAGAAAAGCAGTACAGGGATAGTCGTTTGAAAAGTTGACAAAGAGAGTCAGGAATCTGTTAGTAAACAAAGACAGCTGTGCGTATTCGTGAAGCACGCAGCAGAAATGCTGTTTCAGGAAGTTACCAGTGATACAATGAAGTGACTTACTCTTCCCACTAAAACTTTCCCCCAATACGGAGGAACCCAAGTCTTGCTTGCAGCACAGACCTTTCTACCCTCCCTTTCGGTATAAAAGGAAAATAAAAGCAGTAGGTCTATCAGCGTGATGAGCATATCGCTGAGTGAGAGTTTGGCATGTCTTTGCTTGGCGTCAAGAGTCTAAATTTTATAGGAACGCTATCGACTCATCCAAAACCACAGATGGCTACTCTAACTCCCTCCCACTCTTGCAAGCGTTTTCTTTTGTTATTCCAACTAGCCCGTCTCAAAAAAACAGTCTCACCTGAAAGCGTGGATACTTTACGAATCAAAACATCCTGTTTACGAGTCAGTAAGTTCTTCTGTCCAATAAGTTTATCTGCCTGATCAGTCAATCCTTGGATTTCTTCATATGCCTACAAAAGCATCGGGGAAGTGATGTATGGACCAACAATTCACAAAGTAACAGCAAAACAGTATTCCTTTCTACAAGACTTTACAGGACTTTTTACAGACACTTTCATCACCTTGAGAAACTAGGAGACAGAGAAAGGATGTGAAGTATCGCGTAGTGCCAGTTTTCCCTACCTCCCAGCTGAAAGGGGATAACTAACTTGTTTTGCCTTCCTCCAGAGTTCAGCAATTTTTAAGAGAAAAACATTTATATCCCACAATTACAAGGTAGAGTTGATGAACATAACTATTTATCTACAACTTATGTTTTGCTGCCTGTCATTTACATCTTTACAATTAAGTATTTTATGTCAGTATAAGGCATAATAAAATGCTATCTCCTCCTGCATTAAAAAAGTAAGATTTGTATTCAACGTTATTTCAAAACTGCCTGAACGTACACAGCAAAATACCTACTGAACTAAGACATAACTTTCCATGGTTAAATTCACAAAGGAAACAAGGAGAAGGCTAATCTGGACCGTGCCATTAAGCTGTATCATTAAGATTAAGCTATTGAGAATACAGATTCTTTCACATATTGCTTTGCTCTACAGAGTCCTGTAAGGGTGCCAGAAGTTCTCTTTCTGTACCACTTAGGACCCAAAGGCTACTCGACTACTCTGTCCAAATTAAAGGATTTTGCTCCACAGAGCTGAGGCTTCAAAATACTTACTTGTTTGAGAATATAACATTTGGAGACTTTGGGAAGATTGTGCAACCCCAGAGCTCTCTTTAACTTTTCAAAGAGATCTCTCATTTCGTTACGTCGCCGGCGTTCATTTGCTGTGTGTGTCTGGCGGTAATGAGCAAAGGCTTCTGCCTCAGTCTTCTGCTTTCTGTTCCAGAATTGAGGTTTCTGCTGGAGAAGAAATCGTATTGGCCAGTTTAAATAAAAATGTAACTCAACAGCAAACATTATTCAGATGCATACCTGATTTACAAGGTTTCTACAGACACCTTCTTAGATGCTCCAGGACACAGAGAGCATCAGTATTTCGTATCATGCTATTCAACTATTATGTCTTCATGAATGCTCAGTCTCAGAAGCACAAGCAAGAAGCATGAAATATGGTGACAGTGACCAACACAGTTGCATCCTCCCTGAAGGAAAAGACCATGAGCAGCCCTTTCTGTTCATAAGCATTCCATTTCTCCACATAATGGAAATATATTACACAGACACTCTGCAATACAAGGCTACTTAGGTAAGCCACAGTATTACAGCAAACTCGCATGGGTTTGAGCCCAATGATTTTTTTGTTAATTGTCAAA